ATATATCGGAATATCGATAACATCGATAATATCGAGACCAAAATATCGATATTTATATCGATATTTAAAATTCACTAATATCGATAATATCGATATCGGAAATTCCAAAATATCGATATTTCGAGACTAAATTTGAACACAATAATATCAATTAATTTACCTGCTATGACTATCTAAATTGAATAATATCGAAATAACTATTGCTTTGTAATCGCAAGAGCTTATAGATGTATTAAAAAAATCTTGAACCCCAAGAAATATACTAAACTGGTGTGGACTCTGGCATGATTCTCTAAACCTAAAATTAAATTTGACAACAGTGTATCCTTGTTATTCTCCATACAGAATGAAAAGGAGAGACTGATGTTAAATTTAGTTTTAAATTTTGATAATCATGCCAGAATCGACACCAACGTATATAGGTATAATCGTATACCTAATGGTAACTCATGCACTTAAATAAAATCCTTACCTCTCTTTCTAGATAATTGTAAACTACTGATTAATTGAAATTTAATATCATTGTAATATAAGACAAAATAAAATTAAGAATCTTATACAAATCGTAAATTTTTTAAGCTCGCCAAGTCAAGAAAGTAAGATAGGTATAGTAATTTTGGAAGCTTTGCGCTTACCCTATTCTGAAGCCTGATATGCGGGTTTTACTAATTCAATTGTGTTTCATATGATTATCTATTTTGATTTTGGCTGCGTGCAAATATTTTAAACAAAATAAATATCTTTGATTCGAAATTGCTTTTGATTTGATACTTCTTACAGCGCTATAAAAATATAGAAAATATCGTGTTGGAAATGTTGAAATGGCTGATATATCGGATCGGATATCGATATTTACCTGCCAACATTATAAATATCGATATTTCGGAAACCTTTGCTTCCATAATTTTAGGTTTTTGCTTTGCAAACTTAATACAAAGCAAAAAAAAGAAAAAAATATCGATATATCGATAATATCGAGTTAAAATGGTCGATATATCGGATATCGATATTTTCCTTACTTCGATATAAATATCGATATTTCAAAAGACTTTGCATCCCTAGCTACATCCCTATTTATTTTTCTTCAAAAAGCGGTAACCCACAAAATGTCATTTTACTGCAGCTAATAAAATACTTTAGTTATGATTTCATTTATTTTTTTCTAGTAAACTTTTCTTTAGATTGAAACATCTAGCAGTTAAATGCTTAAAAAATAAATAAAATCATAACTATAATTGCTATTTCTTCTTTCAAATGTTTAATACTTGAAAAAGTATTCATTTGACATTGTGGGTTACCTACAATGCGAAGAGATGGCGCTACCTTGCAGCTTAAGGCTAGGAAAATTTCGACGCGGCTAATAGGGCCGTGGTAGCATAATGGTCAGTGCATTCGCCCGGATAGCGAAGGATGCGGGTTCGAGTCCCGTCCGCTGCCTGGTCCGCGTGGATTTTTTTCTAGTAAACTTTTCTTTAGATTTAAACATCTAGCAGTTAAATGCTTAAAAAATAAATAAAATCATAAAAATATCCTATCTTCAATATATAATATACTTTCCCTCCGTGTGAGGTAGCCGTGGAACGCCCTGTATATATAGGGTGAAATTGAATGTTTTAATGAAACTTCGTGAGATTGTTGGGTTACGTGAAAACAGTATGCCTGATTTTTTTCGGATTTTTTTGAAGTTTTTTTTTTTCATGTTTTTATTTATAATTTGTGTATTTTTACGTCATTTCCTCCTTTTGAGTAGTTATTCATTTTAAACAAACAAACTTACATATCCAGTGAAAAATAACTAATAAATAAGTACTTCAAAAAAATGGAAAAACATTAAAATTCCACGGCGGGTCAACGACCGACCGCGCCCGCCAGCCGTTGACTGAGTACGTACCTCTACACAGAGTTCAGTTGACTCCTTTGATTCCACACAATACAATAAAGTCGTCTTAGATGCCTTTATTGAAATAATAAGCACAAATGTCATCTTCTCTTAAGCGGAGGAAAACTTTAAAAGTTAATAATAATTTTGTCACGATTAGAAATAGGCAAATGTTAAACAAAAAGAAATACTTATTGCAGTTCAATACTTGGGTGAAATTTATAACCCGGTATTCAAAAGTACTTACGAGACCGATGTACCTATTCATTTTTTTCACTTAAACTTCCCGTATACACTTTGTAAACACAATCAATCACCAAACCTACTTTCGTAAAGCCTTGTGGCTCTGCTGAGTATACCGTGACACTACAATAACAACACACCATATCCAACTTCTTATATTGAGGCCACAGAACAAGAACTAATCATGGCATTATTTGCAAATCTTCTCTTGTCCCAAATTTAAAAGATACGCGCGCTGGATAAACTTGACACTGCGCTCGCTCACTGCGCTTTGCACCGCGCATAGGTAAGTATTCAACCGATTCAACGGCGGGAGCGGTCATTGCTCCCGACCGCTCGTCTTCTGTTTTTACGTTTTTTTAGTAGTGCTAATTAGTTGTTTTTTACTTACTCTGTATGAGTGTTTAAAAAGAATAATTATTTAGTACCCAAATTAATTAGAGATTAAAATATAACAAAAAAAAAACGAAATTTTATTTTAAATCATTTTTAAAAAATCCGATAATCCCACGAAGTTTCATTGAAACATTCAATTTCACCCTGTATATAAGTATATTCATATAGAAAAACATTAAACATCCATGACTGGAGTACAAATGCTCGTATTCATCGCACAAACATCTGCCCCCACTGGGACTCGAACCCAGGACATCTCGAGTAGGCGACACCTTGAAACCCGGCGTATATACCACTCGACCACGGTGGTCATCGGATACTAGTGATTCGCTCCGGCGAAATTTATTTTAACGGGATAAAATATAGCCTTTGTCACTGGGATATAATGTCATTATAAAGACTGGAGAAAAATCCACTTGGAGAAGATGGTAAAGTGGATTTTTTCAAGTAAAAGTTTTTCAATGCAGGAAAATATAATAAATAATGAAGCTATCTTATGGTGAATGAATTTTCGAAATCAGTCCAGTTGTTTGAGAGATTATTTGTTACAAACATACAAATCTTGCCTCTTTATAATATTAATATAGATAGTTAGGATAAAAATATTTAATTGACAAAAAATATTTAAAAATAAACTAAGGTATAAGTTTGTATGATATTTGTAAAAGTTACTTTAAGCATTTTTGGTAAACAAGTGATTAGTTTTTCGCTGATTTAAACATACTTATTCTTATTTGTTGTTTGTGTTGTGTTATGTTTATAGGTAGAAAAAATATTTGGAAAATAATTGCTATGATTGCACCATTTGCAATACCTACTAGGCTGGTAGCAGCCCGATCGATAGGTGGAAGTACTCTTTATTCAAGCTCTCTTTACTCTACCAATAAAAATGGGTAGACCAGAAAGCCTGCGCCCTGTGACAGGTCAAATGATCACATGTGGAACACTTTAAAAGAGAACGACTTATATGTAAATCTATAAATTGGGTGATAGATTCATAATAAATGAGATTGCTAAGGTGCTGTACCTAACGCTATGGAAATATTATTCTACGCCTTTAATTTAATGAAATATTATAAACTTTGCTTTTGGTGGGTGTATAATTATTTAATTTTGAAGACAGTTGCAGCCAGTGCCCAAAACGGCAGACGGGAATTATTGCTTTCGTCAACCTGCGACATTGACGTAATGTATATAGGCTGATTATCAACATTTGAATTTAACCTCTGACATTTAAATATTTGGTTTCTGTGAATTATGTAGGTAAAACAAATAATGAGATTAGGATATGTCAGTGCTTTTGTGTATATTACAATCTCAAAGCCGGACGTTGACAATGCAGCCACTGCCAATTTTAGATAATCGCTGAATAAAAGTAAATGAATTTTAAGTCTATTTACTCCTAAACTACTAAAATGAAATGTAAAGAAAATATAACTAGAAAAAAAAAACACGCGTACCAGGCACCAGACGAACCCGCACCCTTCACTATCCAGGCGAATGCACTGACCATTATACTACCGCGGCCCTGATGGCCGTGTCGAATACTTTCTAGCCTTACTTAAGCTGCAAGCCAGCGCCATCACTTCGCACTGTAGGTAACTCACAATGTCAAAATGAATATTTTTACAAGTATTAAACATTTGAAAGAAGATAGGCAATTATAGTAGAGATAGCTTAGGAACAAAAAGTGTCATTTACAGTTTTTAACTTTTTGAGTAAATTGAGAAAATAAATATTCAAGTTGATCTAAGCAATTTTTATTTACCATTTATGTGCCAATAATTAATGTATTATAAGACTATCTTGCTGGTTTTGAAATTTGGAAAAATATAAATAAAATACATATCAAATTTTTGATGAAACCTTTGATCCTATAGCTTGTAAATGTACCTATTTGATTCAATAATTTTGTAAAATGTCACCTTTTGAAACTCTCTGCCTAAAAATTGTTCCCTTATAAAACATTCAGTATGAAAATAAAAATAGATTCACACAAAACATTTTTATTTCTTATACATTATTCTCCACAATCTGGTTCCTAGTGTGAACCGACTAAAGACTTTTCAAACGTATTTCTTAAGAATGTCACTTTTTTAATTCAAGTTTAATATCACTGTGATTGAATAAAATGTAACTTTTTGTTCCGGAAGCAGCAGTTCACATATTTTCTTTTATGAAACTACTGACTTTTTCAACAAAATCTTGGGAGTAACAGATAGAATTTAAATTATATTTTAATTTAACATTTTTAGCTGATTAAAATAAAAAAAAACCGATATTGAGACCATTATGCTACCGCGGCCCTGATGGCCGTTTGCCGTTGTTTTTTCTTTTCAGTTTATATTCGAAGTAATATTTTAGCAGTTGGGTTTATTGATTTCTTAAATTTACCTTCTTTTGACATGCAAAAGAAATTATTGAAATTGGTTATATCTATCATTTCATATAATTATATTACTAAAGTACTTATATCTGTTACCTGATGTTTTAAAATGTTCAGTGGGTAAATGTACAAGGAGGTACGCTGGAGATAGTTTCGGTAGTTTATTAATTTCTTCTTGCAATAATGCCTCCTTATCCAACTGCACATCTAAAATTTTATCGACATAGAATTATATTTAAAAATACTTACTTTTGATTTTTATTATAAATGGATAAGACAAAGTTATAGATACTCATGTACCTGTTATGCCTTTTGATTGCAGTTTTTGTTTCTTTCCTGCTGCTATAATATCTAGTTTTTGTGACATCTGTTCTATTCGTCTTTTTCTCAAACCCTCTCTTTGTTCATCTACTATTCTAAAAAGATTTTAAGCATACTTATTTTGTTGTTTCAATAAAATTATGCTTGATACTAATGTCTAATACATAAATTGTTCATACCAATACATTGTATCCAGGGTTTTAATAATCAAAATTTTACTTAAACGAATGAGAAATGTGCCCTGTCTGGTACTAAGTGCGTGCAAAAACTTATTATAGATGCTTGACCTATCAGAGGATGTCACAACAAATATCCCATTCTCAACCCAATACCTTAATTACTATGGGTCCATTACCTACAAGATAGCAGAGATCTTTAATTGGAGGGTACTTTCCCTAGAGAGGCCACCAAAATAAATAATAATACTTTATAATACAGAACTCTACATTACAATAGTAGAAGATCCGAACCTACACCGACCTTCACCGAGCTAATTATATAATGAAACATATTTTTTCATGAATTTACTATATTAGAAAAAATATTAAGAATGGGTTGCCTAAAAAAACCCTGGACAAAATTTATATTTTAATGAATTTTCAAAAAAAATATTTTTAATTAAATATTGCCTCATCAAGATAAAACGAAAATGTCCTGTTTATTTTAGTTGGGTAACGTAACTGGCATTGACAAAGCTGTTTATACCTGGCAACTGAGTAGTTCGCCCAGGTAAATAATAGAAACCCCAACCCCAACATTTTATATGTTTTATACTGTAAGTCAGGACATTTTCTTATTATCTTGATGTTGCAACATTAAATTAAGAATATTTTTTTTATTAAATTAATTAAAAATAGTCTGTCCAGGATTTTTATAGGCAACCCATTTGTAATATATTTTTTAATATACTAAATTTATGATAAAATATGTTTCATTCTATTATCAGCTCGGTGAAGGTCAATGTAGACTCAAAACTTAGACTACAAATACTAAAGATATTGACGTATAATCAATAGTAAAATGCAATTATACCTTTGTTCACACTCCTTGATGTATGCTTTTTCTTCCTTTGATGGGGCTTTAGTTAAGTTAGGTATTTCACATAGTTCACATATGCCCTTTTCAACAAGTAATGCTGCTTCTTCTGACATAAGAGCCATAGGCAAGCCTGCATTTATTAAAACAGTAACAAAATGTATGAATGTTTTACATACTATCTTATAAAATTTCTAAAAATAAGCTGTGGCTCCCGATATTGACATAACAACTTATTAAGACTTCAATACATTGCCTTACCTAAAAATTCATTTTGTCGAGGATAACTAGCAATGGAGCCTATTAGAGAACCACAAATCCGGTGTTCAGATCGAAGCAAGTACCAATCTATAAATTATTGAAAGTTATAAATATTATTAGTGTCGTTTTCATTTATTATGAATAATCAGATAATTTTATTGTTCTAGTAGATGTCTATTTACCCTCAGCATTCCAAACATATGCAACACCATTTTTCACAAATAGTCGAATCATTTTAGTAAATCACTAGTATCTAGCCTGTAGCAGTTAAATCATTTTTAACTAATGTATTTGTTTTATAGTTTTTTAATAAAGTAGGTATTTTTTATTTATAGCACAAACAAAACCTCCTCACAACAAGTATGCATGTGAGTGAACCACGAGTGAACAAAACAAATTTTCTGCAAAAAGAAACGATTACGATTCCGAAACTCAGAAAGGAGAGAAACAAAACCTATAAACAAAGAGTAATTTAAGTTTAAGGCACAGACTATTTATGGTTTATGGGAACCTTTTCTAGTAATATTACTTAGGCTTGTTGAAATTTGAAAATATATCGATGTATCGACATATCGATATTTTTTGTTCGATATATCGATATTTTTTGCCGATATATTTTGATTCGATATATCGATACATCCATACAAAATAACCAATATCGAAATTCGTATCAAAAACGATATTTTTTTTAATTATTAGCGGCATATCACGATCTAACTAAACTCGTATCTGGAAAAATCGTAACTGGATCTCAGATTAATGATATTCAACATATCTATGATCTGTGCTGTATTTAGTATTGTCTATTATTTGTAAATCTGTGTTGGTGAATTGGTTGTGCTGATTTCCATTATATTCTGTGAAGTGTGTGATTGTCTAGTCCTGTTAACGAAAGAGACCCTGCAATCATTTACCTGAGAGGCCCTGCAATCATTTTCATCATTCGAAAATAGGGTCTATTTTTAGGGAGATAATTTTCGTTCCATTATATTCCGCGTGTCATGTTTCGTGAGCGATATTTCTGGGAAAATTGGTCCGATATATCGATATATCGATGTTTTTTTCGCGATATATCGAAGCCCATATTGATATTAGATATAGCCCATTTAAAAGATCGATGTATCGATATATCGATATTTTTTTCAACTTTCGACATCCCTAATATTACTTTTTTTTTATAAATGGCACGACACGATTTGTGCATTGCCAGTGTCAAAGGTAGTGAAACATTAGTAGGAAATTGATGCATTTTGGATCGGAATTTAGAGGATAGGATCAGGAGACAGAATTAGTATATTTATATAAATATACATACATAAGATACGGATAAAGAGATGATTACACTCTAATATTATTTAACATTATGAAAGATGCTATACATTTATAAATCTGTAAATTATTAGAGAAGAGTAGGGTTATTACGGATGTTGGAAAAGGAACATCTAAAGAAATGAGGCCATTTAAAAAAGAATATCGATTGTATAGAGCGCAGGAAAACAGGATGTGGTTAACATCCCCTGTGTCCATTCCGCACCCGCAAGCAGGATCGCTGACAATTCCAAGCTTAGAGAGATGTGCTGGTATAGTAACATGTCCAAGTCTCATGCGCGTTAATATGCTAGTAGCAGTCTTACCAAGTTTAGCTTTACGAAACCATGGCTTTAAAGGAATAGTAGGTTGTATCGTAAAATAGTATTTTCCTTTTATTTGTGCACTACTTGTCCAACTTGTAAGCCATTCATTCGCAAATCGCGCAATGGTAGAGATAGCAATTCCTGGCTATAACATTTATAAGGAACCACGTCACCACAATGCACTGCCTCTTTGGCTAACTGGTCGGATTTTTCATTTCCCTGAAATCCACTGTGACTCGGGAGCCATGCAAACTCTACCATGTATCCCATTTTCATGAATTTATTCAGAAATTTCCTTATCTCAAATATTACAGGAAAATATGATTTAGTACGTAAAGGGAATTTATTTAGGGCTTGAAGAACACTCATTGAATCGGAAAATATTACAGTTTTTCGCAGTTTCATAACAAAGATATATTTAACAGCCTTTAATAAACCAATACATTCTCCGGTAAAAACAGATCTCTCCGGAGGAAGTTTAGTTTTTTGGACAATAGAAAACTGAGAGTGGAATACTCCTACACCTGTACACTCAGACGGAGAGGACTTAGAAGCATCAGTGAATGTATGATGAAAGTCGTCATATACAGTATCTATAATTGATTTGAAGGTTATACTTGGGTGTGCATGGTTTTTATCAATTAAATCATATTGAATAGTTGGTGCTATTTCTAAGGCATCATAATCAATAGTAAAAATGGGAAGATGGTTTAATCGGTGTATAGGTGATTGTATACTTATATACTTTCGATAACTAACTATCAAACATGGGAGAGATTTATGTGCCCAGTAACTTGCTGATGTTATTTCTTCATTCAAAGAACAAAGTAGATTTATAAGAGGATGGTTGGAAAATTGAAGTAAACGGAATAGATATCTGTCAGCAAGAAGTTGTCGTCTAATATTAATTGGGCTGGATCTCATAGCACCAGTTATTATTCGTAACGCTATCGACTGAACGTTATCTAGCTTTTTCAGTGTAGTAAAATTGGCAGGTTCTAGGAGAAAACTTCCGTAGTCCAGTACACTTCGGATTAATGCATTATACACTAGTTTTAAGGATTGCGGATGGGCCTCCCACCAAACTCCTGAAAGACATCGGAGAAGATTTAAAAGTCGTTCAGTTTTACTTATAATGAAATCACAATGTGCACTACCGGTAAGTTTGGAATCGAACATGACTCCCAGAAATTTTACTTGGGGTTCAATGGGAATTAATATATTATTATAATAAATTTTAACGGGAGGGGAATTCTTCTTTCGTGAGAATATTACAATAGTACTCTTTGAAGCAGATAATTCTAGACCGTTATCGTTCATCCAAGAACTCAAAGAACGCAAAGCTGAGTTAATATGCAAAGTAGAATTATCTATGTGACGGTTTGTAGAATAAATCAATAAGTCATCAGCGTATTGCAACAACTTAATATTATTTTCAAATAAAGTGTCAAAATCGTGAGTATATACACTGTAAAGGACTAAGAACTGATCCCTGGGGCAAGCCTCTCCATACAGTTCTTTGTATTTCAACACTATTCGGTAAGCTAATTATTAATTTTCGTTCGGCTAGAATATTCATAATTGTTAACATTTGAGGAACCTCTAGTATCTCTAGTTTACTTTTCAAAACTGATAATAATACGTAATCATATGCAAAATTTATATCCAAAAATGCTGCTAGTACGGATTCCTTATATGTGAAAGCCAGACGAATGTCAGTTGATAAAATACTTAAATTGTCCATTGTACTTTTTCCCTTTCTGAATCCGTATTGTGTTTTGGATAGCATGCCTCTGCTTTCTAAATACCATTCAAGGCGATTTTTTATTAAAATTTCAGCCAATTTAATTAAAACAGTTGCTAAGACTATTGGACGGTATGAAGATGCATGTGATGGTGGTTTATTAGGTTTGAGTATGGGCAACACTGTTTGTGACTTTCATGACAGAGGTATGTCACCTGCGGGTCAATTAATTAAGCTTCAGTAATAAAATCCTAATGTGATGTCAATATGATGTTGATGCCAAGTTGACATTGTTTTTATGAAACATTATGAAACATTCCTATGTGACATCAAGATCATATCAATATCATATCCTGTATCACATTTTTGACGTTTATGCGATACTATTTTAAGTCAAAAAGTTGAACGTAATACGCATTTAAGTTGATATCATTTTAAAGAGTTCATCATCATCATAGCATAAGTTGATGTCATTTTGATATCGCATTTTTCGGAGAGCATAATACGTAATGTGAAATAGACATCAAAACAATATCACAATTAGCGAGCATAATTGGCCTGCTGTTATCATGATAGTGTTGATAAGTTGCAAGTAGGTAATAGGATAAGATGTTATCACTAACATTTGCGAAAAACGAATACGGAATTCCGTCTGCCCCAAGGGCAGAATCTTTATAGTCGAAAACAGCACTCTTAAGTTCTTGAAGGGAGAAAGGACGATTCAATCCAGAGCTACTACTATATGACGATTGTAAAACCTGTGAAGTGTTAAGCATGGGAATGAGAGTCCACGGTGGGGCCAATTTGTCCATATATTTGTATTTTTATTTGTAAAAAAGTTTAATTCTGACGACGTAGCCTGTAAAGGCTACGGAACGTCAATAAATAAATAAAGTTTCGTGCATTAACCCGTAAAAACTAGTTTTATTTAATGAGTGATGTGCGTGAAAACCTAAGAAACAAATATAAGAAAATAATCAAATTTTGACTTGACTTACCAAGGCAGCAGGAACAATAAATAAAGAAATACACTAAACATATATACAATATTAATAAACAAATCTATCCACTGATCACTATTTTAACTTCTAATAAGTAAATATTTTCAGATGCCAAAAGAACGCGTCCGCCAAGTTGGAAGTTTCCCGCGCTTTTTCTAATATTACTTTTAGTCATTGGGGGAACCTATTTAACAGACACCAGCTGTCAATGTCAAAACCCCTTTTTTTAGATTTTCCCTTTTTGGGAACGCAAAGGAAACAATGCCCATACAGTCTAGTCTTTAATGATATTAATCTTCCTTTTTTTATTACATTACAATATCGATGTGACTAATGTTTCTTGAAATGTTTGGCACGAAATGTATCGAGTTAGCTTTTTCGATAAGCTTTTGTCAGGTAGACAACATTACAATAAAGTTCTCACGTCTACTTGACGGGAATAGCGTATATTTTAAAGATTCCACTAATTCTTCAGTTGCGCAGGCAGCTGTAACACAAAATCACACCAATTTTATTTCCCAATATCCACTAAGAACGAATTTAAGAATTAAAATAAGACGCCAACCGCACTTGATGAAATCCCGCCAAAACTCTCCCTTTCATTTTTTTACCCGACCCAACAGCGCGAAGCGCGACGCGCAGACAGGGTATAGTGTTTAACAGTCTATATATGTATGTTTGTTCCTTTGTAGCACACTAGAGACCAAACGCGTGGACCGATTTTGATGATTTATACATCAATTGATTCGTCTTAATCATGGGAGTGCTACTAAAGATATGATAATAATCAAAAATCAATGTGGAGACAACTGTGCGCCATATTGTGAGAAAGAAAAAAAAATAAGTTGCCGAAATATGTCGAGTGGGGTATCATTGTCTAGATAATCGAAAATCATGTTTAAGTTCCTGACACCATTTTTCATTTTATATG